TAATCCATTAAAATTGGGAGTTGTCAATTTGAAAGGAAAATTATCTTATCTGAATAAATAAATATGATAAATGGTTTGGTTTCTAGTGAGTAAAATGCATAGTTTTTAAACCCGGTACCGGGCAAGTCTCCGGGTCACTGGTTCAACTGGCCGGTCACTGAGTCAATTGCTGAACTGGATAATTAATTTTAAAATTTTTTAAATTATATAAAGTATTTTGTCATATAAATATATATAAAAGTAACAAAATTAAATGTTTGTATATAAAATTTGTGCAAGTGTTAATAATATATATTTAATGGTAAATATTTACCATATAAATATATATACATAGTTTTATACTTTTATTTTTTTAAAAACAAAAAATATTTGAAAAACATAAAAAAAAAAAAATATATAGGGACTGGATCAACTGGGTTGACTCAGCCTGGTCAATGTCCCGGGTCGACCGGGTTGGCCGGGTTTTGATCGGGTTTGACCTGGTCCTTTGTTGTCCGGTTTGGATAGCTCACTCGGATCGACTCTGTCTCCGGATCGACAGAGTCCCGGGTCGACCCGACGGGCCGATCCGGGTTGAAAAACACGGGTAAAATGCATCATTTTTTTTTTCTTAATTTTTAGTTGAAATCCATGCAAAATCATATTACTTTCATTTTTTCTTTCTTATTTTTTGTCCCTTCTATTTTTTTATTAGAACATCCTCAATGCTTTGGGTTCAATCACAAAAAATTGTATGACACATAAAAAATAGACCTAATCTACAAAAATGTATTCTCCAGTGCAAACAAAAATAGATTGGGTCCTACTGATGTGGCAGCCAGAAAAAGAGACCTGATCTACCCTTAAGTCTATTTTAAACTCAAGTTGAGACCTGTCTTTTTGCATTGGAGTAAGTTTTATTAATTTTACATATTTTTATCCATGTCATCCAAGACTTGAGTTTATTTACATGTCATATAGGCAAGACTAGACTCAATGCATTGTAGATGTTCTAGAGCAGTCATTAATCGCCACTTGGATCAACACATGAGCACACCCTAATTCTATATGATTTTGTTATCCAATTAGCAATTTATTATTTATATATATATATATACTGTTTATTTATTTACAATATTTGAGCTATATAATTCTATCACAATCTACAATATAATATGTACGTGACTACTTATGACACGGGTATGACTAAACAACACTATGCATATTTGTTTCTATTTGTTTTATGAATGTTGTGTGTACTTTTGCTTGGCATATTTTGTTTTTATTTGTTCCGCGGGCTGGCCCGTCCGCCTGCTTAAACGGACGGGTTTGGGCCTTTGTTTGGCCAGCCCTTTCAATCGCGGGTCTATTTGGCCCGCCCCGTTTGGCCCGCGGGCTAGGGCGGGCTGGCCCATTTTTTTTATTTTATATTATTTAAATTTAGTATTTTTTATTTTACTTCTAATTTCTAACTTGCACATAAAACATTTTTTTTACATAATAAAAATATTAATAAATCAAATAATATTTTATGTCAATTAAGTCGTTCCTGCGCGTGAATACCCTATAACTATTGATAAAAAAAAATAAAAATAAAAACTAGATGACAAATATTTAATATCATTACACATGAAACCTTACTAGTTTATTAATATACTAGTAAATATAAGGATAAACAAACCAAAAAAATATATAAGAGTGCGAATACCATAAAAAAATAAATAAATAAAACCCGTGGGGGGGCCAATTTGGCCCGCGGGCTAATGCGGGCGGGCCACGAGCTATGGATTTTCTAGTCCGTAGAAATGCGGGCCATTTTGGGCCGCCCCGTTTGAACCGCGGGCCAGAGCGGGCCAGGTTGGACCGGCCCGTTTGACAGTGCTACATATATATATATATATATATATGCTTTAGAATATCATATCATATAAATGTAAAAATATTGGAAACAATTTATGTAATTTATGTTAGGATCATTAAAATGAATAAATAAAAATAAAATAAAATAACATATATAGAAGACACACGTGAATGAATGGGTCTATAGGTTGTCAAAGGCACTGATTATAACAACTCTCTCGTTTTTTGGTCACATGCAACACCTTCACGGGCTTCGTTTTCCCTGCTTTGTCGTCTTAAACTAAAATACTAAAACATTTAAACCTAACAAATTGAAATTAATTCCCATTTTATTTTCCTTTTCAAATATAAACTAATTATATCGATAGCATGAAAATTATCAAATTGTAACGGAAAATCCCAACGATAAATATATTAATTCAATAAAGTTTCGAGGTAATTTCAATCGTTTTTAAGTTGGAGCTTCAAATCGAATATCGATGATTCCAATATCTGTTTTTCCTAACCTAATGGTTTAGTTTAATTATAAAATATAAGGTATATAAATATGATAATCTAACAAACCAAATGTAGCTAAATTATATATATATATATAAAAAAAATCAGAAATAGTGATTTTCCATTTTAATTTTTATATATTCATATTTACTTATCGAATCATTTTACTTTGGCACAAATTCACATGAGTGTGTGGCAATTTTACTGTTGCTTTCCAAATAAGAGGAAACTGTACGAATTGGGAAATAAATTGAAGAAAATAAATAAATAAATAAATAGAGGAAAAACAATGGTTGGGCGCCCATGGTTTTTCATAACCAATTAACCAGTTTTGAGGCACTGAATATACAAAAATTCACAAATAGTTAAAATTCTGGCTGAAAAAGGTACTATAAAAATTGCAATCAGTCCACGTGTCCATCTGACATTAATTTTAGCACTTGATGCTATGGTCCCGTAATGGAACCATTCCGTCGAGTTTTGTAGTCGTTAGATCAATTACACAAAACGATTACATAATGATCTAACGGTTACAAATCCCGTTTACAATGTATCTTGACATTTCCCCAAAATTCAATCAGTCAATAGAGATCACAAGTGTTGTAGGCTCCTGATTGGGTGCAAGCCTCATGATTTTGTGGATAAATATGACAACATTTAATAATTACTACGTAACAGTATTGAACATGTTAACAAAAATAAAAAAAAAATTGGTAATATAAATAATTTCATAAATTGAAAACTAGCTAATAATTTGGAGTGAGATTCTTAAAGCCGTCGTTTTAGTACGTAAAACAAAGCTTGTGAACTTTTCCATTTGTCCCGTGAACATGGGATGATAACATTCTCTTTTATAAAAATAGTTTCGTAACGAAAGAGTAGGATTTTTCAATAATAGTAATACTAACAATAATCTTAATACGCATATGCATTATTAAGTAGAAAATATCATACTTTAGAAAATTACATAAATAAGAAAAAATGACATTTGATAGTTTAATTATGTATTTTTATTTAAAAACTATGACAAGTCATCTCGATTGCCTAATGTTTAGACTGTCTTACATATTAATTAGTGTCTCCATTAATGAAGGCACATTGAGCATATATAATTTTACCACACTTCAATTAGACATGGCCCCGGCCCGGCTCGCAACCGACCCATAGGACGGGGACATTTCTGGGTCCATTTTTTTGTTTTTGGTCCCGGCGGGTTGGGACAGGGCCGGTTCGACGGACCTGGCCCTTGTTTTCGGCGGGCCGGTCGAGTGTCACCCATGGGAGGCCTGCAAGCCCGACGGGGCGGGCCGGGCTCAATCATCTGACTCAAGATCTCATTGAACACAAAATACGTTACAATTTCTTTGAATAAAACCGTGTACAACCATAACTTTATTACATGCAATAACTTTATTATATAATCATAACTTTTCAACAAACGAGTACATTTTCATATTCAAATGTCATACTTTAAAATATAACATAAATAACAATATGTCATTTAGTAGAATAAATAATTATTTATTTTTATTAAAATGAAATATATCTATTGGGAAAGTTTGATTGCTCGTGGATTATTCCATATGTTCTACCAACTTTATTCTTATACACATCACGAAAATATATAAAGCCCCTTTAAATATTGGCTTAATTAAGCTACAAATTTTACAGACAGTTGTATATTTATTTACAATATTTGGGGTTAGTTGTTTGAGCATGTGATCAAACTTCGGTTGAAGATCTTTGCTTTTATTGCGTGTACGCATCACAACCGTTCATGTGAGCCTCCTTAAAATGTTAAGACATTACAAAATTTTCCTTGTCAATACATTTGTGTTTGTTTGTGTTCCCTACATTTGTAGTGAAATGCGTGGC